CCCCATGCTCGACCCGGTTGGTCGGCGCCCAGCGGCTGGGGGATCACGGCTGGCATCCCCCCCCGCCCCTCTCTCTTCTGGCCCCGGGCGGGCGAGGGAGGTGCAGCCTTAGGGGTGCTGAGGTGACACCCGAGAACTTCCCGGGGAGAGGGTGCACGGGGGATTTCCAGTCTTCCCAGCGGCCCACTCAGCGGGGTGGTGTGGGGAGGGCCCTGGGGGTGTTCCGAGACCGCGGGGGGGTGCTCCTTTTCCTCCACTTCCCACGACCCCCTGGCACGCCCCGAGGCGTCCCGGGTCCCTTCCTCCCCACCCCCCGCCGCTTCCTCGGGTTTGAGATGGGTGGGTGGCTTTGCGTGGGCCGAGGATTTCAGGGTTTGGGGGCTCCCCCATTCTAGGTTTCGCCTCCTCCCCTCTTCCTTGGCCAGCGTTGGCTGAGGTGTTCCTGTGGTGGGCGAAATCAGTACGTTGGCTAGTGGCCTTGGTCCTTAACCTTTTGGGTCTGTTTTAAGATAAATTGCTCATAGTTTGGGAGGCAAAAATTTCTATTTATTGGATTCCTTTTGGAATTTCTCTCAAGAAGGAAGTCGAAGAAGAATCTTTTCTTTTTTTTCCCTCTTCCTCCATTTGCATTCTTTGTGAGGTCTGTCTGCCTTGTGCTTTTTGTCCCGGATTAGTCTTGTTCAAGGATGGAGATTCCCAGGAGTGGAGTCTGTAGCTTTTGGCTTCCATTAAGCAAATTCTCTAACCCTTTAAAGGGAAAGTTAATTTTTGCTTACAGTCATTCCAGAAAAATAGCCTACACTGACTAGATGAATTATGCACTTAAGATTGTAACTTACATATGGTAGGTATGTTAACTAGTACCTGAGTTTTTTGGATGAAACTGGTGGGGTTTTTTTTTTTTTTTTAATTGAGAGATGAAGTAATAGGTGATTTTAGCTAAAATGGCATAACTGAGAAAACCTTTAGTATTGAGTCTTGGGTGAGATGATCTCTTTAAGGTTCTTCCTGTTCTGAGTAGGAGTAACCCTCTCCCTTTTGAGGGATATTATTGCAACCTTTACCCATTCTCCGAATTGCTTTCCTATTTAAATGAAGGTACTTCTAGTTAACTGGTATTAGATTTAAAGGAATCACTCAAGTGTCACCTTTGGTAAAGTGAACTCAGTTTAAGATTAAGAAACTATTTTCAAACTGACCCTTTCGGCTCTGGAGCAAATTCAAATGTAACTCTCCCCCAACCCCCTTTTCTTCCAGATTAATTAAAAGAAGAATGAACAGTAATCCTGAAGATAACTGGGCAGTTTTTCTTTAGGTTTCATTTTTAATTGTAGAAGTTCAAGTGGAGTCAGAGACTCTTCTTAACTGGTGTGAGGATTTATACCAGCCTTCATTTTGTCCACACAGACCAACAGATCATCATTTTTAGAGAAGATACTTTTTTCCCTCCTTTTTTGGTGTCCTTGGTGCCAAATACTAAATTTGGGTGCATAATTTTGACTCAAGTAATTGCATAAACTTTTCACGTGTTGTGCTTAAAACCAAACCAAACTGTCGCGTTGAACTTGGACATCTTGAATTGAGAGAACTGGTAACTTTATTTTAATACGTATATCTGAAGAACTTAAGAAAACAAAGGCTTCCTCGGAGGTGTGCCTCTTAAAATTATTTTCTGTGTTATTAGACAGTAAGAAATTTTATAGCACTTGCAGTGAAATTATACTTGGAGTATAAGCAGAACCAAAACAAAGTTGCAAAATCTATTGAGTAGTTTAGGGAGATCTCTTTGGAAATTTAAATTTTCTGTTCGAGTAAGTTACCATAAGTATTGGTATACATTGTGTTTCTCTCCAAATAAGCAACTAGTTAACAATGCAAATCTCAGACTTACTTATTTAACAATAGTTTTTAGCAATGGAAAACCTACAGGCAAATTTTTCCTTGGTTCAGGGCTCAAATAAAAAACTGAACGGGATGGGAGATGATGGCAGCCCTCCAGTGAAAAAAATGATGACAGACATTCATGCAAATGGAAAAATTATGGTAAACAAGATGCCAACTGTAAAGAAGGAACACTTGGACGACTATGAAGCGCCAATGGAAACTGATGAAGAGCATGTCAAGAGAACCTGCGCCTCTGTGCCTGAACCTTTACATTTAAATCCCAGTTTGAAACACACTTTGGCACAATTCCATTTAAGTAGCCAGAGCTCTCTGGGTGGACCAGCAGCATTTTCCGCTCGGTATTCCCAAGAAAGCATGTCACCTACTGTATTTCTGCCTCTTCCATCTCCTCAGGTTCTTCCTGGTCCACTGCTCATCCCTTCTGATAGCTCCACAGAACTCACCCAGACTGTGTTGGAAGGGGAGTCTATTTCTTGTTTTCAGGTTGGAGGAGAAAAGAGACTCTGTTTGCCCCAAGTCCTAAATTCTGTTCTCCGAGAATTTTCACTCCAACAAATAAATACAGTATGTGATGAATTGTACATCTATTGTTCAAGGTGTACATCAGACCAGCTTCATATCTTAAAGGTCCTGGGAATACTTCCATTCAATGCCCCGTCCTGTGGGCTGATCACATTAACTGATGCACAAAGACTGTGTAATGCTTTATTGCGGCCACGCACTTTTCCTCAAAATGGTAGTATACTTCCTGCTAAAAACTCATTGGCCCAGTTGAAGGAAACTGGCAGTGCCTTTGAAGTGGAACATGAATGCTTAGGCAAATGTCAGGGTTTATTTGCACCCCAATTTTATGTTCAGCCAGATGCCCCGTGTATTCAGTGTCTGGAGTGCTGTGGAATGTTTGCGCCCCAGACATTTGTGATGCATTCTCACAGATCACCCGACAAAAGGACTTGCCACTGGGGCTTTGAATCAGCCAAATGGCATTGCTATCTTCACGTGAACCAAAAATACTTAGGGACACCTGAAGAAAAGAAACTGAAGGTAATTTTAGAAGAAATGAAGGAGAAATTTAGCATGAGAAATGGGAAGAGGACTCAATCCAAGGCAAGTTTTTTTTTTTTATAGCAATTTTGAATAACGGTCATGGTTTACTTTGAAATTAAAAGTCTGTTTAGAATATAACTGTTAAACTATTACTGCTCATGCAACAACAGGAAAAACTCATCTAAATAATATGTTATGTTTGTATTACACGTTTTAGGCTATAAAGTGCTTTCCTGTATGTGTTCTCATTTGATCTTCCAAACAACCTACTGAGAGAAGTGGGATTATTCCCATTTTACAGATAAAGAGAATGAGGCTCAGAGAGATCAAGTGGCTTTCCCAAGATTATATAGCCAGGGAGTGGAGGATTTGGGGCTTCTTTCTCAAGCCATGTCCTTGTTTTCACACATCTTGCTTTTTGATGACTAAATCAGTTGTTTTCCTAGGACTCAAGATAATTTACACTTTGGTGTTATCTCTGTTTGCAAATGATATAATAGGTAGCCCGAACAACTTTGGTGGTGGGCTCCAAACAGCATTTTTCAAAGGTATATTTAGGATTTCTGACATTGTTTCTGTAATTGAATATTCAGACTTGATCAGTACTGGAGACAAATGCAAAAGACAGATTTATCTGAAAACTTTGTGATTCTAGTCACCAAGAATTTTTTTTAAAGAGAGGAATAATTTAAAAAAATTATGGCAGCTAGAATAAAGATTTATTTTTTAAATTAAAAAAAAATTTTATTTATTTAATTTTGGCTGCATTGGGTCTTCATTGCTGCACTCAGGCTTTCTCTAGTTGCAGCGAGCGGGGGCTACTCTTCCTTGCAGTGCACAGGCTTATCATTGCAGTTGCTTCTCTTGTTGCAGAGCGTGGGCTCTAGGTGCCCGGGCTTCAGTAGTTGTGGTGCCCGGGCTCAGTAGTTGCGGTTCATGGGCTCTAGAGCGCAGGCTCAGTAGTTGTGGCGCACGGGCTTAGCTGCTCCGCGGCATGTAGGATCTTCCCGGACCAGGGCTCGAATCTGTATGCCTGCATTGGCAGGCGGATTCTTAACCACTGCACCACCAGGGAAGCCCAAGATTATTTTAGATTAAGTAAACATTAATATAAAAACGTCTCAGCAAAGAGATTTTAAACTTATTTTTCCACTGCATTATCTGGTTGGCTACACTAGTTCATTCTAAGAGTTTGAATGGCCGGCTAATAGATAATATTTAGGCTATTAAATATTCAGTTTGTTGATCTGGTTTTTAAATATTTGCCTACTTGATTAAAATCAGTATAATAGCTAACACTAAGTGTTTAAAATGTGGCAAGCATTGTTTTTGAACAGTTTTACACGTATACTTTTATTTGATTGGTACCACAAAAGATTGGCCACGTTTCATCTTAAGAATCTAATTTTTCCACTATTAATTAGCTTTTATTTCTTGAAATATCTCTGCCCTTTCTACTTCACAGAAGTATTAAATGACTGAAGTTTATTTACAGCAAGATTAGAGCTTGGGCAAGAAACTTAAGGTTTCATGGCCTGTGCTTTAAACCTTTCAGGTTTTGAGGGAAATTTAGTTACAGTGTAGTTTTAAGACAGTGATTTGCTTCTGAAGCCCAATGAAGATAATTTCAGACTTGAATTCAGGGTAGTTTGCTACTTGCTGATTCCAAAGGGTCAGTACTTGGAAATTCCTTGCCTGTGGTTACTAGATAAGTGTATATTGTTTAACTGATTTTAAAGCAGAATTGACTTCAAGCCAGTTCTCATATTGTTGGACATGCTTACAGCTGGCCTGGTCCCATGCTGAAAATTGTGTTTAGAATTATCTGTATTCTCAAAATGTGGAATGCCCCTTTTGATATTTATGATATCTTGCCCTGACCTAACTAGGACTCTTACATGTCCATAGGTGGCCACATTATTTGCCAGATATTCTTGGTCCAATCTTGATTGCTCTGACATAAGCATTTTTGGGATAAATTAGTTTGCCTAATATTCCTGCTCTGTGTTTGTGAGAAAAGATATCTGAGAACCATGATAAAGGTTAAAAAAAAAAGGTGATGAATTTACTTAACTGAAACTGAATGTGCTAGGGTTTGGTTAAAATTGAAACTGTCCTTCATCAGGATGTAGTCATTTAATTGTCTCAGAATTCATTAATTTGAATTCAGTTTTTTTGGGGGGAAGCTGTGAGATTTTTTTCCCCATCTTTTTTACTGTGTTATGTTTTGCAGTATTTGCTAGTGTTTCTGGTGTATTCTGTTATTTTTTCCAATTTTATGTGAATTTTAAGCAATTGAAGGGAATTTGAAAATTTCCAGTAATCAGACCTTTACAGAAAGAAGTTTTGGGGGAGCTCGTGCATAGTAATACATGCTTTGCCACTTCACATTTTGAAAATTTACTCCTCAAACCTTGCTGAAATAGTTCTCTCTTGAAGTTGAGCTGAGAAACTGGTGGGTTCAGATGGGTCACATGCTTCTGGCTGTATAACTTGTAAGTGGTAGAATCAGGAGTTGAATGCAGTTCTTCTGACTTCAAGTCTAGTAATTTTCACTACTTTTCCCATAAGCAAACTCAGTAGCAGAAACTGAATTTTGAGAAACATTAACTTTTCTTATCAACTTACCTTAGTATAATGGTTCTTAAGCTGTTAACTTGTATGTAGATTAAGGTATTTTACTGGGAAGGGGGCATGGAGATAGTCCTTGGCTGGGGAACATTTTTCATTGTCTTCTGTGAGTCACTGAATTGGTTGCCCAACAAACCAAATACATCCAGAGGAAGCTCATTAAAAAAAGTCAAAACAGGCTTTTTAAAAAAAAAATTAAAGCATATGCTAAATATATTAACCTCTTATTTAAAGGTCCTTACGTTTAGTGTGAACACTGATGTAATTGGGTATGTTTAGTTAATGTAGTCAGAGTAGGTTTTTGGATTTTAAAAATCCCCTCAAACTCAGTAGGCAATTGTTTGAAATGTAGCAACTGTTGAATTATTTCTAAGGATGGAAATTATATTAGTGATGGTCACCAAACTATTTGCATAACTAAAAACTATATTTACTTTGCATAGTTAGGAGCTGTATTTAGATGGGAGAAATAAGTGGTAGAAGGTCAGTGTTCTAAGTGAAGAGCTGACTATTCTTTGCAGACACCAGAGGTATAGTATTTTGAACTCTTTCTCACTCAGGTCACCACAAGAAATAATACTTGATTTTTAGATCTGCCTAGGTTGCTTTGCAAAATGGTGTTATCAAAACTGTCTCTTCCTATCATTTGAGTTTTTTATGTTTTTATTAGAAAAATGATTATTGTATTTTATAGTGTACAAATATATGGAAGAATATCATATTCTTGATTCTTTTCCATATCTCCAGTGGGTATTATTTATTTGATCTAATTCTGATTTTGTTGAATCTTAGTTTCTGTCTGTGGAAAAAAGGTTTGCCAAGCAAACTGATCATTTGTAAGTAAAATTTGAAGGGTGATGTTTCCTTGAGATTATTTTCAAGCACATTAGAAAAACCTATTTGTAGTCAACTGATAAGGTCATTATAGGTGATTCTTTACTGTTACAGCATGTGGCTGACATTCTCCAGTTCACTAATTAAAGATGGTTTATGACTTTATAAATTTTTAGGGGTTAAAATTTAGATTTCTAACATTTAGACTTGACTACTGTTAGGTAAGTAAAATAATATAGTTCTTACTTTGCTTAGGGAAAAATCCCTATGGATTATCTGTGATGCAAATAGATTACCTAAAGATATCAACTTAAAAGTTTTCCTCTTAAAGCCTATTAATTAAACATTTCACTTTTTTTAGTTTTGCATTTTTCTTACAGTTCATTTCTGCGAGGTCATGGGCAATAATGATAATCCTACAAAAAATTTCTCCCCTCTTGTAAGCTATTATACTTTTGTTTAGGATGTGTGTTTCTTAGTACCAACCTAAGTGAGGTAAAGAAATACACTAGAGAGGATGGGTAACTACAAAGAGTAGTGTTGGGACAAAATGTGTACCAGTAAAAATAATTGTGATAGATTTGATGGTAATTTGTTACATCAGAGGCAGAGTTTGCATTTTATGATTATTACAAATTTTTATTAAGTGGCTATAAGGTCAGAATCAAATGAAGTATTTGTGCTCATATAAGGGACGAGTATGAATATTTTTTTCTAACTTTCTAACATTAACAACTGTCTTAATGAGTTTTGAGACTATCTTTTTCCTGTTTTCCCAGAATTTAGTTTACTGCTTGGCAGGTCAAAGTTACTCAGTGAAAAAGAAAAAAATTTTTAAACTGAATAAATTTTTGGGAGACAATGCGCCATTGTATTTTAGAATATTGGGGATGTTTTTGGAAAAATTATGGTTTAACCCTTAATAAACATATAATTTGCAAATAAACTGTTGAATAAGACAACTGATCAAATGAGAGAATGGATGTAAAAGTACTTTGGAAGAAATATCAGATGGTACTTCAAACTATTATTGAAATATTTACTAATATGTATTTCGGGATTTTTCCTTTCCCCAAACATTTTCTTGATTTATCTAGAATTATCTGAAGATATTTCTAAGTAAGATAACTGAGTGTTGGACTCAGCTGTATCTCACTTTTAGTTGTTTGTACACAGTAATTATACTAGTTGGATATTTGTTTATCAAAATGAAGTATGCAAGAAGAAAGTACAAAACACGTTTGTTATAAAATATGTTATAAGAAGGAAATTTCAGTGAAATCTTTAGAATGGCTTTGGGAATAGTGCCCCCTTATGGTTTAGGAAATATAGAGTCTATATTCATTTTATCATTAAAAAATTTTAATTTTTTAAACATTTTAAAATGTTAATATTTTTAAAAAGGCTTCTGATAAAACGCTTTATCCTTTTGGTCTGAGAAATGGGAAAAAAATTAAGAAACTTCAAGAAAGAAAAGAAAAAGGATAGGCCTGAATCAGTACATAGTTAGCCAGTAGTGTACTCATACCTATGCGTATGTTATAATTTATACCACTTGGAGAACAAGGAAGAAAGCAAGAATTGGATTAATTTCA